ATTTGGAAGACCTTTGCCTATTCCTACATTTTTCATTTTTCCAGATCGTCCCAGATTGCTGTTTCTGCCGAAGGGGGTGTGGTAATATTTATTTTAGCGTTTACGGCATCCTGGCCGTAACTAAATTTCTGAGCATTTTGTTACTGTTTTTTATTAGTTCGCATTGTTTTCCGGAAAATTGCATACGCTGATCACGATCTTTCATTAAATTTCGATTTCACAGTTAGACCATGGGCAGGAGGGACGGAGTTACACGCAAAATTTTTAAAGGCGCATGCGCGTCGTAGAGCTGTGTTATTAAGTTAGTTGAAAAAATATTTACTTTATCAATCCAGTAATCTTCTTCTAAGTACAAGGCCCATGGAAAGTGCCCAATCCATCCATAATAAATGCTTGCTTATCAAATGTTGAAAAATCCGGTATTTGATTATGTGAGTGAGTATTGTAGGCACTTTAGTTGGGAAAAAGGTAAATTAGGTGTGTTATGAATCCCAGAAACTGGAAATTGTTCCTGTGTCGAACTGTTTACATTAGACACTATAATATGATCGATCCAAGTTTCTGTGTTTTTGAGTGGTGTGTTGGTTGCTAGATGGTAAAATTTCGAGGCACATTGGCTGCTGAAAAACCCGCTAAAAAGGGAATTAAAAAAGAATTATCTTTTCTTATTTGACACTCTTCTGAAGCTTGGCTTTTGTGCACAATACTAACACATGTGGTGTTGCAGCATATCCCAAATGTTATCGAAGTTCCGGTAAGATGAAGAATTATGCCCCCCAGCCTAGGATATTCCTTGTCACATCCGCTGGTCTAAATTGAAGATGAGAAAAAGTGAAGAAAAACCCAACGGCTACAAAAACGGAAGACTAAACCATCCAAAACATCGATGACGAATGCGACATCTTACTGAAATCTTCTCCGTTTACTGATATACTTGAAAGTCAACCAATGTATGGAAGAAACCCACACAGAAATCAGGCTAAATTATGGAGACTAAAGGGTGATAGACCCACCAAACATGTACCGTGTGAAACGCCTGTACTAGTTGCAGGAAACAAACATTATTAAAAGGTCACGGTAGAAAAACCGGATTGATCCAATATAACGACTAAGTACAGCACAAAGAATCATAAACACGAACCTAGTCAATCAAAAAATTCAAATCGTATTGTTGAGGTGATTTTCAATACTTTCATCCCATCATCCAAACTAGTGGCTGCTACAGAATGTACAGACTCCAATTAGTTGTGTGTTTTCCTTTGATCAGACTAGCTATCAGACTCATTGCTATTCGAAATTAGCCTGAGTGAGCGGTGATTGCGCGAGAGAGGTGCACATAGTCCTCAACTATCGCGCCGGAAAAACGACGTGGTATACACGTAAATAATAATCACTTTTTAATTTTAGAAAACTAAATAATATAAGCTAATATGGCGGTTTATTCCATTCTATAGAGTATATTTTAGCACTACCACTATTAAAAATTTAAAAAAAAATTTGAGCCGTTTTTGGAAAATCTTATTTTGTAATTTTTTAATCTGCACGCAATATGCGCGAAAACACTAAATGTTTAAAAATATGTACATAACCTTAATGAAATCACTAAATATGGACAAAAATTTCATTTCAAGAAAAAAAATCTCTATTCTTCTACTTTTTCTTCAGGTGTACGGCAAAGATCCGCTGTTAAAATTCTCTAAACTTTTGAAAGTTTACGAAAAATTCACCTGTAACAGAAAAAAAACAGACCTATGCCCAATTTCGAAAATTGCTCTTTACTCCATTCTTTCAAAAAAAAATATTTAAAAATTTTAAGGCCAGTTACTGCCAAGCCAAAATTTTTGAAAATGTCGCAGGCGGTATCTCTTCATCCGTAAATATTGTACTCTCTCTATTTCCAAAGAATGTTTTTCAAAATCTCAAAGCCTCGACTCGAGCCAGTTCGACCTGGTTGTCCTTTAACTGCAAACATTCTACGCATGGTTTGAGGGCTAGTGTGTTTAAGACGGCTGACTTTTGCCGTCAATGAATTGTCGGTATCAAGGACCAACAACACAGGGATTCTGACTTCAGCACCCGTTAAGAATCTTTTTTTCTACATTTAACAACTGGATTTATCCACGACCGCAGGAACCCGGCAATGAGAGTTTTCGAGAAAAAAATCAAGTTTTTTCCGCACCATTTCATAAATGTGTCGATTCTACGTATATACTCCGCATAATTATACGTACGTATATTTAGGAAACTTTACTACCGTAGTAAAAACTTCTAATTTTCTTGGCTGCTGCGCTAGCATTCCGGTTCTTGCTCCCATTCTTTTGGCGACTGTCCATCTCTCGCGGTTTAAAGCTATATATATATATATATATTACTACTACTCAATAGATAATTATTATTATTATTATTATTATTATTATTGACTGGAATGACTATAGCAACTACAAGGGAATTAGCCTTATCAGCACCTACTACAAAAAACTAAACACATATATTCTCACCAACAGAGCCGAAACGATGGTCTCGGAAATTCAACACATGTAGATTTAACTTTTTACGTACCCTAAAATGTCGCTTTCGCCATTTTTAGACATAATATTCATTAACATTATTCATGATATGTCATTCTTGAACATGTCGCTATAGAGACCATTGCTTTATGAAAAAATATAATATATCGCTCACTTGCTTCAATAAACACGACTCCAAAAATTCGAATTTTGAGTTAATGGACTCTCCAGAATTGCAAACTGATCTATCTTCCAACAGCAACAGCAGCTTATCTTACAGTATTCCACCAACAAATGGCAAAAGTGTGAGTGCAAGAATGGTGCATTTCAATACAAGGTGAAACCTTCAATATAATTTTCTCAGCACCCGCTCACCCACTATTGCTGTCCACGAACGATATAGCGAGCTAAGCGCTTAAACTTTGGGACCGATTATACAATACGGTGGCTATTTACGAAAATGTTCGAAAAGGTATTGAAAATCTGGGGAGGATGTTCAATCTTACATTAGATCCATAACCTCATACGACTCACGTCTCTAAACGTTTGGGTCCCGATAAACTATTATGAAACCTCTAGACCAGATGTAGTACAGGTTTTCAACTCGTGGCCCAGGAGTCGCATGCGGCCCGTGAAATAATTTTGATGGCCAAATCAAAATTATATAAAACCAAATACTAATTTTAATTACAATGCGCCCCGTAGCTAATTTTTGCCAATGATACAGTGAGAATTCATCGACAAAGGAACAGTATCAGATCTGACATTAAATTCAATAATGATATTGAGCTATGTGTTATTCATCACCTCTGCCAGGTGGAAGACAAAATATAAAACACACACATGTAGACACTATAATGTTAAGTAATCTCTGCATTTATTGAACTATAATTGGGTATATTTACGTAACACAAATACACTGGAGAGTTAAAAAAAACTAGTACAGCCATGCGTATTGAAATAAAGAGATCTAGGACCAATCAGAATACAGTTCTCCAGACCCATAAGACAACCAGACTCTGTCACTGTTGTTAGATCGGTTACTACTGCTAGGCTAAAGCAGGTTATCGCGATTTAAGTGAGTTTGAGCCTGGTGTTATAGTCGACGCAAGTGAGAGGTCGCGATGAAATATGGATTTTCCCTTTAGACCATTTCACGAGTATACACCCTGGATATTGGAAAACCGGTAAAACATCAAACCTCCGGCAACGCTGTAGCCGCAAGAAGATGGTACAAGAGCGGGACCGACGACGACTGAGAAGAATCACTACACGTGAGAGAAGTGCAAACCTTCCTCAAATTGCTGCATATTTCAATGCTGGGCCATCATCAAGTGCCATTCACCTTTCAACGAGACATTATCGATATGGGGTTTTGAAGTCGACCTACTTATGTAAACTTAATGCTTCGCCTGGGCCCGTCAACAAAGCTTCACGCCTCGCCTGGGCCCGTCAACACCGACTATTGATGACTGCAAACACGTTGCCTGGTTTGACGAGTCTCATTTCACATTTTTCGAGCGGATGGGCGTGTACGAGTATGGTGATCTCATGTATCCATGGACCCTGCATGTCAACAGGGTACTGCTCAAACTGATGGAGGCTCTATAATAAGCAGTTGGAGTGATATGGGACCCCTGATAAGTCTAGATACGACTCTGTCATGTGACACGTAAGTAAGCAACCTGTCTGATCACCTGCACTAATTAATGTCCATTGCACATCCCGACGGACTTGGGCAATTCCAGCAGGACATTGTAACTGCCCACACGTTTAGAATTGCTACATAGTGGCTTTAGGAACACTCTTCTGAATTTTAACACTTCCATTGGCTACCAAAATCCTCAACATGACCATTATTGATCAGATCTGGGATACCTTGCAACGTGCTGTTCAGAAGAGATATCCACCACTCGTACTCTAACAACCTTATGGACAACCCTACAGGATTCATGGTGTCAACAGCACATCTACAGACACTACTAGAAATCATGTTACATCGTATTGCTTCTGCGTGGTCGTGGGGAACCTACATGATTTTACGCAGTGGTACCAGTTTTTTTGTCTCTTCAGTGTATTTGTTATTAGTAAATCAAAGTGGTCCGATAGTGTTTCACCAAAACGAAAATAGCCCTATAGTTTAAAATAGAAGAACACTGACCTAGGAAAGTGATTGAGGGCTCCTTTGAGAGCTTGACGAAGCAGCTTTTTCTCTGTGTTCAGTGAACGTCACTATTTCAATTTAAAGACTTTAGTAAATGTTAAGTGTAATGTAGTTAATTAAAAGTTTAATAAACCTATCTATTTTAATAGTTGTGTTCTGTTTTTTTATTTCTTCACAAAATGCCATATGTTACCTAGTTTGAAGTAAACCTCGACGTCATGCAATATTATTTGTGCTCTGACTGTTTTCCTAGGAAAGATTTTGAAGTATTGTTGAGTTTACCTGCTTTACACTTAAAATACTTAATAATAATAAATGGTTTTCTGTAGTTTCCCAAAAGGATTCCTTGGTTTGCCATTATTACTTCTGGACCAGTATGGGCTAGTGTTGTGTTTCACACTGGTTCTATTTGGATTATGCTGGTTTCGTTCTACCATCTACCAACTTTTCTCATGGATATTCTGCACGTTGGCGTGGAAAAGGTGAGTGATTATAGAATACATGTGAAGTCTATTGAATGGTGTCGAACCAAAGTTTTTCAACGGACTGTACTAAACGGAAAGAACTAAGAAATTAAAAAACTTGTATAGTAGACACTACAACACGCTTCTGAAGTAAGAAATTGAAAGTTTATCGAGAGTTTACGACCAAAATTGATTTATAGTAGGTATCAGTTTAAAGATGATAGGTAGAAACGGCTAACAGGAGATGCGAGGAACATTATCTGAAAGACTGAGAGTCCCCAAGGTCTTTTACCTACTGAGTTTAGCCCAGAGCCAGCATGTGGCTGCGGCCGGGAGGTCATGGGGTTTGAATTCCGACAGTGGTTGATTAGATACCAGTTTCCTAGCTACATCGAATTCAGCCACTTTCTGCAGGTGTATCCTCGTGGCCGGCTGTTTTGATTGATAGTTTTCCGTGGCTATCCCTATCAATTCCAAGTAAATGCCGGAGCAGTTCCCTAACGGGCCATGTCCTGTCATGTCATATTCTCACCCACTCTTGCTTTGGGACCAGTCGAGACGGGTGCCATGAACTATAACTGAATTGATGCCTTATTTTACGTGGCGAAACTCGAGCCATCAGGCCCGCTCTTCCGTGTGACAACGCAAATTTTACTACGCTCCTTTCACCCACTAGCTGCGGATTTTTTACATGTAAGTAAATATACTAACATGGGACCAGCCGGCTTTACTTGCCTTATCACTAACACCCTACCACACGCCTACCCAGGCTGGATGGTAGCGTCGAGGTCAGAACAGGCTCAAGTCCTCATTTTGAAGCGGAGAATAATGAAAGGCCGTGGACACGCTTAAAAATCAAGCCTCTCCGTCAATTTCCGAAAAATGCCGGATTTTAAAGCTCAATGTTTATAATTGTTAATTAACGTAACATAAATACACCAAATGTAGCAATTTATCTTCTCAAGATACTGTATCTAATCGTGTAAAATAGTATACTGTTCCATTTTTAAAAAAATAGTTACACCAATAACCTAAAAAATACTATTAAAAAGCTAATAATTACAACTGATGATCCCCTATATTATATTAAAAATTGTTCGGTGAAAATTTCATCTTAATATCTTGAACCGTTCAGAAAATTTTCAATGTGGACGTTTTTATTGACTAACCTGTATATTTTTGTATTGCTCTTGTTTGTTTAATTTTTACAGAGTGGTTATATATCATCAGTACCCTGTGTAGTAGGTTGGATCAGTGGTAGTCTTTCAGGACTTATTTCGCAACGGTTTCAAAATCTAGGTGTTTGGAGTCACATGAATGCGTACTTAATTTGCAATGGTATAGGTGAGTACCATGAAAATGTTATTAAAATATTCTGTAAGTACGTGGAATAATATTGTGTGTGTCAGAATACGAAATTTTAGGAGTTGAAATATTATAAATGAGCTTTATGTGGCAGTTTTTGCACAGTTTAATAAATTGCTTAAAAAGTGCAGTTTTAATTGTGAAAAAATTCTGTCCTGTAATTTTTACCTTCATTTGTAATATGTTGCTGAAAACCATCTGTTTTTATGATATCTTAATTAGTAGTAATAAAAAAAGTGTTCGCATCTGTAGAATAATAGTAAATTCCTTGCCAATCTGTATAGAAATAATGTAATTAATCCCAAATATATTGAAGAATTCCAGGAAAAAATAATATAAAAACTTTAAGATTATGTCTGATATAAAAAGTAATATATATGTGTATATACGACGCGATACGATAGAAGATTTTTACTTTCTCGCGCTTAACGAGGAACTTGTTAAGAGTAATGCTGCGCGAAAAAACAACAAAATTTCGTCAGAAAAACTCTTATTACAGGGCACTGGTAACGATGTGGATACATCCAGTTGCCAAATTTAGAAAAAAAATCCCCTAACTTGTGGTGTAGCCAGAACCCCTGTTTTTGTGTGTCCTTGGCATCGAAAAGTTGTTTGACAGCAAACAGTCTGTCTGTCCAGCTGTGAACAACGTTAGCGGCTAAACTGTTCTGCCAATTTTCTCCAAAATCTCCCTGATTGATTCGGCTGATGTCGCGGCCCCTTCCATTTGAAAACGTTATTTCAATTTTGGGGGCTATTTTTCATTGAAACTCGTGGAACATTTTCAAATTTTTTAAAAAATGGCGCCATCGATTTTTATTACATTTTGTTGTTGGATAGAGTGAAGAACGTTTAAGAGAATAGCGCAGGTCTAATGTTGGTTGTGTAACCTTTCACGTACCCTGTCTACTTAAATCAAGACAACATGATATGCTCAGTGTTTGACACTATCATCACTATGCATAGCAATGAAAATCTCAGCGCAGTGGGTTCCATATCTCGTTCGACCTGAACAGGTTGCTTCAAAGATTCACTAGAGTTCATCAGCACATTTTATCAGAGGTCGCTGGAAGAACAGGACGCTTTTGTTAACGGGGAAACGAAAGATCTCGAATCTATTTAAGTTGGTTGTAAAACCACACCAGAAAGGCTATACAAACGAGGTAATTATTTTATCTACAGAGTTGTTCCTCGTGATAAATTATTCGTAGAATATTTAGAAGAAAATTTATGGAATTTATAATGTGAAAGATGTAAACATGTGAAATGCATTACACCCATACTACGTTTTTCTCTTTCAGTCCTTCTTTTTACTTTCCTGTATATATACTGTAACCCCTTACGCGTGTCTGTCTGTCTGGAACGGGAATGGGAATTTCAATAAATAATGGTAAAAAAACATTTGCATTAACAAACATTTACTTTAAAAAAATTGATGATGATGATGATGAATTACAATTATTTGACAATTTTTAATAAAAATATAAAACGACCATTAAAAAACCACTACGGGTCGTCATGGTTACTTTGTTCTGATATCACCCTTTCCACTCCCTCGCTTCGCTCAGTAAGTGTTCGACCGCATTTATGCGGGAGCCAAGCGGATTATTTACCCTCGTTTCTGTTGGCGGGCCTCATTGCACGCCCGGTGGTGTAGTCGCCCGTCGTCTCTGTTCGGGCCGCCCCCTTCCAGGCAGAGGCGGTGAACACAGGGGCTCCCAGCGTGGCCGTTGGATGTCGCCGCGCTTCCCGCGGGGCCCACGACTCCAGTCAGCGTCACCAACCTCAGGCAGCCACGGTATTCATCGGCGATGAATGGAAGTTAAACAACTTCCCTCCGCAATATGCTTCAAATGCTACTTGATTAACTGAGCAAGCGAAGTGAAAAATCGTGACCGAACTATCGAATCGAGATTGAAACCAATTGGCTTCTCATGGCCGAGTCAAAACATCGAGTGACTTCTCGTGGCCGTCTCAAGCCAACCAGTCTAATCGACCACTCCCGGCCGTCTCCAGCCATCAAGTGCTTCTCGAGCGGTGGCCTAGTAACATCAAACCTCGGTACCCCCTCCCTCCAAAGAACGTGTATCCCCCCGATACGCGGGGTTGAATTTCCCGGAGCAGGGTGGATGCGTGTGTCTGACCAATCACACGGCAACTCTTTCTTAACGGCCAGAATGTCCGTTTCTGTTGTAAAAAACTATCGGCCTGGTTTTTCTCTTCGCCACGTGCGCCGCTGACCGCTTGGTTGTAAATTTCATCCCCCCCCCCCGGGGAGAGCGCACTCAGCGTTGGTCGGTTCATTTTATGAGCGGTCGCTGTGATAGGCGGCACACTTGACATATTGGCGCGGGGGATTTATTCCTGCCTCATAAAACGCGTTATAGAACCCTCCGCTTAAATAGACGAACGGGCGCGAATTGCCTTACGACCCCCCCCCCCTCCCCCTTTCCTCGCAGCTGGCGTCCGCGGGCGTCTGCCTATTTTTTTCTTTTTTTTTCATGTACATTTTCCAACGCAGGAGCTTGTACCGTTACAATACGTACATGTGGAGTAATATATGTAGTATAGGGAACATAGAAATGCTGCTCAAAAAAAAGTGGATTTTCACCAGAAAAAACTTAATTGCCTGGCCATAATAATGAAAAAGTGGATATATCCAGTTGCTAAATTAAGAAGAAAATAATCTAACACGTGATGTAACCCTTTTTTGCGGGTTCTTGATACCGAAAAACCAATTGACGGAGTAACGTCCGTCCGTCTGTCTGTCCGTAAGTCAGTACAATATTTTTCAAAATGAATATTCGTGGTCGATCTGGTTCCACTCAAAGCGGTGCGAGTTTGAAAAACATTTTTCAAAATTTGGGGGTTCTTTATATGAATGACATTTTCAAAATGTTCTCAAAAACTACTTCAATTTTGTTCTTTAAATTATTTGTAAGAATGGAGTAAAATACGCTTGTAAAGATGACGTAGGTCATATTTTCCCACTTGACTCTGAAATTCTCAAAATTTATAAACTTATAAAGGAAAGATCAGATTTTCATGATTAACAGAAATGTCAGAAGCATTGGTCAGATTTTCATGATTAATTCTGAATTTTCGAAATTTTGAAAAGTTTGAATTATTTCCGGTGTCTTCCTCCAACTATAAAATTAAAGATAGAAGTTTTTTCTTCAAATGAAATTTATTGCTCATAATCAGTTCTTAAGCAGAGGCAAACAGAAGCCGAGAGAGACACGGAAACATTAACGGAGACTTAGAAGGACAGAGATAGAAAGCCGTGAGAAGGGGAGAGACTTACGAGGCAGAGAGAGAGAGAGAGAGAGAGAGAGGCAGAGACATATAGGTAAAGAAACAAAAGAATGATACAGAGAGGAGTTTCTTGTTAATAAAGATTGATTATGGAAAAAACGGGCAACGCCATTTTTTTTGTCGCGTAAAGTTTCTCGAAAGTTCAAAAGTTTTCTCTTAAAACGAGCTCAAAATTTTGCATTTCCAGAAACGCACAAACACCTTATTCTCAGATATGGGTCCAAATGTTTTCTTGAAACTTTTCCAACGAATAGTGCTAATTGCACTATTCAATATAATGTAAAGTTCATTTTGCTGCATTGTAACGATTTTTAAAAAAATACATTTTTTTTGAGAGAGAATTGCCATTTAAGAGGAGGTTCTACTCTCCTTTAATATTCTGAAATATGTCGGTTATGTTATATCCTGGGGAAACACAATGTAAAAACATCAAGTTTTATTAAGCACACAGGCAGATTTCTTAAAATCTGTAGAATATCCAGAACGAAGCCAAAAATTTCATCAAATCAAGAGGTGTACAATGGGTAGCACAGTTGACAGTTAATCCAGTAGAATATCCAAACACAATGTCAGGTTACAACCAATATCCAAAAACGTCAATGACTCTCCGGACACACTGCCATCTGCTCTGGTGGCGATGCCTGATTTTATTACCGGTAGCCGCGTAGCCTCACTACTGGGCGGCCGCTCCGCCCGTGTACCGCTCGTCTCCCATTGACCGGCGCCTTTGCCGATACGTCGCGCCGGCGAACTTCGGAGAAGCTGGTTCTCGCCGTTTCGGCGCGAGTGTCGCATTCGGTCGCAACCGGTTACACTATTAGAAAACTGAAACATTTAGAAAATTAAAAAGATATTCTATGGGCGCGATAGATAGCAGCTGGCAAGAGGATGGGACAAGTCATAATAGCAAGCCAAGACCAAAGAAGATAAAAAAAAAACTAATACGAGAAAGGCTGTGCCATTTGTAGCACCACTAGTTTCATTACCGTTCTTAATTTTATTTACTTTTTACAATTCTCTATTTTGAATACTATAATTTCAATCATCTAATCCAATGATGGAGGAAATTATTTTTAAAAACCAAGTTGGAGCTGATTTATGACTACAGTTCCGAATTCCGTACACGTTCGTGATGATACGTGGCAGCGAAGGCATTTTCAGGCAGGCAGGTACTGCTAGATACCTGATCTGCATCTTCCAGTTGGAGCCAAAGCTGGATTACTCTCCACGAAGACGAAATTGGAAAGAAATGCGCCAGAAGATGTGCAATTCCAGAAGAGGTGCGGCCCACAGACTTCTAGAATTCTTCACAGAAGTATTCATCGCTCACGCTATTCGTCCTCTGGATTTTCACAAAATAAGACACGTTTTCCAATATTTAGTAATGTGTGGAGGTATTTTCATTGCGCCAGTGCGTAACGCTATAAGTGCGTAACTCTCAGGACAGCCAACTTCGTAATCTGTTCGCTCTGCAATCAGATCGCTCCAACAGTTCTTTCTGAACAAAGGGGAGAAAATCCCTCTACCTGCGCTCGCCGTTCTGTCAAAGTCGTACGGCGCGCAGTGTATATTTATCAGATTCGTATAATTCAAAAGGGAATATTATGCATTCCAGATCGTGAGAATAACTTTGAGGTAGTTTTCCATCTTATTCATTCTATTTCATGTAAAATCTTTTGTAAATAGTTTAGTTCTTAAAAAATGTATATAACAACCGAATTAATTCACATTTATGAACATCAGTGTGTGTAAATTTTGCTCATGTATAATTTTCTATTCTTTGGAGCTTCATAAAGGCCAAATCTCATTAGCTATTTCAATAGTAATTCAAATTGTCAAAAACGGTGAATATTACTACGTGAGTAAAGAGTGAAGCATTTTCAAAATTTAAAAAATGGGGCCATTGATTTTTATTAATTTTTGTTGTTGGATAGTGTCAAGAACTTTTAAGAGAATAGCGCAGGTCTAATGTTGGTAGTGTAACCTTTCACGTATCCCGCTATCTACTTAAATCAAGACTCACTATCTTAAATCAAGAAAATGAAATTAGAAAATGAGATTATTTGAAGATCTGTTTTTGATGAACCCATTTACTGAAGAAACTAGAGGTGCTTCCGGAGCACAAATTTTCTCGCGTGATTGAAAAAGTTACAAATATTAAAATATTATAATTTCTGCCATACTAAAAACTCAGATATAACGAAAAATTCTAGTTCAAACAAATCGCATCTAGTGCTTATCTGCATTTATTTACATCTTCAGGAAAAGTAGACATTTATTACTTTTAGAAATGAAACAAACATGAATGAATGGTTTGAATGTTTCATTATTTACAGATCATAATAGAGAAAAGTAAGAATACGTTCACTCAAGCATACCTTGATTTCATTTGAAGTGAGATTTTAATTTTTTAATACCATAATCAGCTATTAAAACTTCTTAAAGTATAGAAGTGTGTTTATTAGTTCTAAGTTAAAGTTTATTACCTTCCTTCAATCTATTTCTTTTCATAAAAGATTATCTTCATCATACAATCATCATAATCGTCAACAATAGAATGAATAAGTAGAATTGGTTGCTATATTACGAACTGGCAACGTCTGAAATGAAGCGCGCGGAATTCGAATTTAAAATTCCGAACTTAATATTCTAAAATGCAGAGTGCGCCGTAAACAGGTCCATTACCAGTATATTTACAGTTCTTTGCTACATACGAGGATAAAATGAAACAAAATTTGAAGTCATTTCTGAGAAAAATGTTGGTTCATATAAATATCTTTCGCAATTCTAATAATCTCTTCCCCAGCCCTTGCCTCTTTCAGGGCGTCCTCCTTGGGACGTCACGCTCCTTGGGACAATGAGCCGAAGGCGTTTTTTAGGTTAATGAGTGCTATAGCTAGATCGCGCTTGCCCTCGCCCGATCTATCTGCTCCAGTACCGAACGGTTGGAATCCCTTCTGCGCTGGAGAGAGCACCTCACTCGGCTCTAGCCAGGCCCTGAATCGTCTCGTGCAGAGCCCGGTGTAAATCTTATGTATTGTTGGTGCAAGCGCAATTGACTGCCAGTAAGTCTGTTCTGTCTCCTCCTTTGAATATCAGGACTATGCGTGAGCGGCGCCAAGCATCATTGATTTTGCCAGCCCATTTGATTTTGTTTTATCAAATTAAATATTGTAGTTAGGATTTTTGCTTCCGATTCACTTGTAGGTGATCCAGTCCTCTCCAGGCGCAGTGTTTTCCGCCTTTGAAAATCTTGGGAGCACTTTCTTTTGTGAAAGGTGCTGCATTCATAACTGGGCGGTAGTTTGTCTTCGTTGTTCATGTTGTTGAAGGGCTTTTCAGCAATGGATAGCATGCATTGCTCTCCGTCACTCACAGCAATCCACCGCATCGCCTTACGCCTTTGGGTTGCATACGTTTGTCTAATTCTGTGCTTGTCAGTGATCGATGGTTTGTGGTTGCTTGCCATAGCTGGCTACGAAGCTTCGCCAGAGAGTATTTTTTTCGTCGCAGTATCTTGCAAGCCGACGTTCAGACGGTTATATAGATCTTCATCTCTGTCTTCTGCTATGTGGAGTTGTTTGCGCCTGCGGTCTCCTCGTAGGCGCTGTGTAGTCCCTCGATCCACTCACTAGGTGCGCGTTGGCCTTTGGAACCTTGGTCTTCTGAGAGGCCCTTTCAGACTGGCTTCCTCACATTGCGAGAGGATGGGGTGGGGTCAGCTTCCTGTGTTAAGGAAGGCATTGTGTGTGGCTACGAGGGAGTTGGTTGTGCGTGTCTATTCAGGTCGGCTCCGGCTTCTGCTGCTGGGCCAGCAGGGGGGTCTGATTGGGCAGCGCAGGCTCGTATGCTAGGGAGCTCAGGGCTCGTGTTGATCCCTCACAAGTCAAATCTTTTCTTGTTACTCCTTCCATCCCGATTTTTTCTATCTGTCTAAGCGTCCTATACGCTATCGTAGGTCAAAATTTAATCAAAATTCTTGGAGCTCTTTTGGAGAAAAAATTATTTAAATAAATTTAAAAATTGCTTATATTTCATGAAAAATTACGCGAAAATAACTTATTTTTTCTTCAAATAGTATGTGACCCTATTTGAAAATCTATCTTTTAGGAACACATTTCATTAAGGGAAAAACTCTCTTTAATGTTTTAGTTGTAGGAAGATTTCGAAAAAAATTTATACTTTTGAAATATTCGAAAAATCAAGGCTTTCAACAAACATGAGGTCTGCACCATTCTTTTAAACGTTCTTCACAATATCCAACAACAAAATTTAATAAAAAACGACGGTGCCATTTCTTTGGAAATTTTGAAAATGTGCCAGGAGCTTTATGCAAAGTACCCCTAAAAATTAAAATTTCGGTTTTTAATTCCAGGGGACATGGGACAAGGCATATCGATTGACGAATATCAGTTTTGAAGAAAAATGGCTGAACAGTTTACCGTTAGCGTTGTTCACAGACATACGGGTTAACGTCTTAACGACAATCGATTTTTCGCTTTCGTGGGCCCAGAAAACAGAGATTTTCGCTACAACACGTGTAAAGTATTTTTTCTCTATTTATAACTGGATTTATCAATTTTTTCAAAACCAGGTTCCGGAAATAAGAGTTTAAAATTCGCCGATTTTACCCGCAACATTAGGTAAGTTTCTCTCTATTGCGTAAGCGGTAGCGAGAAAGTAAACAAAATCAACAATTTTTTAGAAGAATTTGAAATTGTCACTTGAAATTCCAGGAAAGTACTCCCAAAAATTAAATAATTTTACTGATTTGCGGAACGGCACGGTTATGCTGAATATGCTGGACAGATATTCCCATTCGTCCGTACAGACAGATAATAAACGTTCTTAAATTGAATCTGAAAACTGCCGTTTACCACTAATAAATGAATGTAATATTAATACTTGCCTGTTATTTTTACAGGGAACATTGCACCTTCTATCTGTTTCCTAATAATTATTGTGGCCCGTTGTGAATTGACAACGAACGTTCTTATGTTCGTTATTATTATGTTTTTTAATGCAATGATATATGGAGGTAGTTATTTCAATGCCATGGATCTCTCTGTCAACCATACTGGCGTTATTTGTGGCATTGTAAACACATCAATTAATTTATGTGGTTTAGTGACGATGATTGTTGTAATATTAATGATAAGAGACCAAGTAAGTTAATTGTTGATATATTGTATTCTTTTCGACATTACTATTTTTCGGCTTTGCTTTTCGTAATAACTTCATTCACAAAGAAAGTAATGTTAAAAAGTATTTAGTCATTTAGTAAAGAATTTTTTGAAAAAATACACAAGATGAGCAGTTCCAGAGGAAAGGACAACATTTTCAAGAATTGAGAATTGAAATATATTTATAAGTAAAGTAAACAAAATCAACACTTTTTTAGAAGAATTTGAAATTGTATATATATCTTTCAATTCTCAATGCTTGAAAATTTTGGAGCGTATTGTTATAAAATGCTATTTAAGCGTTACTGTAAATGCGAAATTTGAAAGAAGGTATTTTCTGGAAGATAGCATTGTGCAGAGGCTTCACTTAATTCTTCCTATATAATCTTCTTCATAATTCTTCTTATATATATATATATATATATATATATATATATATATATATATATATATATATATAAAAGTAATATTTTGGTTTACTATTACTAAATCGCAAAATTGAGAAACTTTGCAAAAATGGGCGGTAATAGATGGCAGCTGGCAAGGGGAAGACCGAAAAACTAGCCCATAGGCCAAAGAAATTAGAAAACTAACTAGTAAGAAAACGTCCGTGCGATTTTGTACCACCACTTGTTAATTTTTTACATAGATTGTATCTCATCGTCACAATCATCTTGAAAAACGCATTTTGGAGACACTGTACTGCCATGCGTATGAGTATACTTAATCCAAGAAATCTTATTTCTTTTTTATACGATTTTCTTTCATAAAATAAAATAGTATTACGAAAAGTACTGGTAGGAACCCAACCGTTAACACAATTGACTTGGTTCGTTAGAAACATTAACTAGCACAACAGATTACAAACTTCAATCGCGTCTGTTATTTGCTGATTATCTGAATTTTCTAAATTTGAGTCATTGAAAATGTTTTTGCACCACGGTTGGATGTAGAACTGTAGTTATTCGTTCCCCAATTTCATAGTTCTCCAATAATCGTTGTTTTGTTTGTTTATATCCGAACAATCTAGACTTTCTCTTTAATATTATTAATACTTGTGCACAGATTCGACTTAATCTAAGGACAATTTTCTGGACGGAAAACATAGGAAATCACTAATTGCTGAGCCGCAACAATGCGTTTCTCAGCAAAATGTCAAAAGAAACATTTGTTCATCTTAATGTGTAGAACACGTTGGTTCTTTACTCCCAAAATGACTCGCCTAATGCTTAAAAAAAGGAGCCAGATTTCCACAATTGCACTCTATTAAAACGAGATGTGCTTGACCTCCAACGCTCTGAACCGCAGGATGGAACCAATATAAAATGGTCCGTCTCAAAAACAGTGTTATACGTCATTCTCATGCAGAACTGTATGTTTGGGCACAAGAGATATTAGAATAACCAACCATTTAAGATCTAAGAGAGGAATATCGGTAATGGGAAGGAACAAATTAATGATATAAGAGGTCAAAGATGGCACATATTTCAATGATGTAGTACATTACTATATTTTTCACTCCTTACAATAATGAGCTGAAGATCCATACGCTCCTGCCTTATCAAATTGTGCTCGATCGCGCCTTCTGAAGCAACAATTGTTGTAGTCTTTGTAAATCTGATCAAGTAAGTTTTCATCAAAATCTTACAATAACCTCGACATTTTAGATGGAGATGGTTTGTACTCGTTTGCACTTGAAGGTTCGTGTTGCTTTGGAGATACAAGTCAAGTGTTACTGGAAGAGACAACAAGTTCAGCTACGGGCTCTTGCTGTCCTGAGAAATTTCTCCCCATCCAGCGTTTTTAATGCATTTCTGTGTCATTCCCGTTGTATTTGTGAATTATTATGCTACACAACATATTCGCGAGCTTCATATCCGCGTACAATTCCATTTCCATATTCAATAAATCGCAACTTTGCCTCCAACATTTTGAGAACATTCATAGAATTAATTCGCCTCATGATACCGACGTGCACTCTAACTCGCAACCAAACACTCCGAATGACTGCCTCCTACTGCAACTATACGTGTCACACAAATAGAGTATGGACCTTGTTAGTGCAGGCACAACATGCCACCGCCGAACAGCGCTAGTAGACAACAGCTGAGTTTGTGTAGGACTGACTCATACCACCGTTTTATGAATGCGCGGTTTGCATTGTTAGCTCACTTTCGTGTGGTTCTGAGCGTTCGAGACCATGTATATTCCTTATAAGGGTAAATGGGTCGGGATTCTCAACTAAAGCTTTCGGGAAATAAGAGCCTAATTTGTTCACAAGTTCACCTTTCGCCTTTCTTTTTTAATTTTTTTGACATTTCTCGCGTTTTCATCTCGACGCAAATTGACTCCAAACCTTTATTGGGTGTTAAGCGCCTTTTGGAGTAACCCTTCGTTACTTTATTCATTTATTGGAGTAATCCTCCGTTACAATTAAAGTCTAAGTTGTCGGTATTTCTTTTTTCCATAGGACCACCAGGTAGCATTTCCGCGTACGCACCTCTCACACGCGCTCCTGCGTCGATACCCAACAGCCAGAATTAGGAAGGATTTAGGAAAGGGGTAGGGTTTAGGATTCTTCACAGAGGTTGAACTGGCCCTTTGAAACAGACAAACTCCTTTTGTTGGAATAAATTGCACATGAGATTGTCTGGGAATCAAACCCGGACCTCCTTGGTGAAAGGCGAGTGTCTCTTTGACTTGCAGAATACGCATTCAAAATAAATGTTATTCAAAACCCTATGTAGAAGATTAGTTTTACTTCATTTAGCCACACGTTGTTTTACCAGGAGAAGCTTTCGCTGTAATTGACAATTTTTTTTACTACTAAGATATTTCTGGATGACACATCCCCCACGACTTCTTCCATCGATGTACTTTTGATTAATGAGAAAGACTTTTCAACACTAAATTTTACCATCTCATGAGGAATCACATGCATTTCTAATAAATTGTTTACACTGTTTATGCTTCAAAAAAATAGTCTAATTCTAAACCCTTGTATGTGCTTTTCAATAAGTTTGAGTATGTAAAGCAACATTTTATCTTATCTCATTTGGAGAACGCCATTATATATTTACAGGAAAACCATATTATTTGTCTCATTCGGAACTGGAGCTAGAATAGATCTATATTCGGTCGAAAGAAATATTTGTCTTCTAAAGACAAACCTACTTGGTCAGTCAGGCGCCAATTCGTAGACTGCCAGCGGTCCAATTCCAATTGATCCAATCAAGAGCATGGCGTTTAAAGATTCAATATTCCAAACGGAGTGCCCGATTTTTGCAGGTTCTTAAGATGTCGCATTGTGTAATTAAGTATGATCATTACTGATGTATTTTCTGAATCTCAGATATTCTACTAATGAGAGTAGAGACATAAGTTTCATTTGATAGAGCACACGTTGCAATTGGCAGTCAGCCCGAGATGACGTCTTCTCGGTCGCATTTAGACGCCTGGCACTTGCTTGTTTGGTTTGTGTTATATTGTTTTTAACTTCACCCTAAATAAATAATTTTAGAATGAAGCTATCAAATAGCTTTGAAATTTTTTTTCAATAAAATGAATGAATTGCAGAAAAGTTCTTACAAAGATTATGACAGAATGCAGTTTGAAGGTCTGGCTACTTTTTTATTTGGTGTGTAAAATAGAGCAAGGCGCTTTGTAAATTTGTATGTCAATATATAAAAGTGTTATATCAATACGTTTGTTTCTACATTTTTAATATTAAGTGAAGATTCATTTATGTTTTCAGCGCACCCTAACTCCATGGAATGGACTTTTCGGTATTACAATTGTAATTGCATGTGTATCTTATATTATATTTGCAATATTTGGATCTGTAGAAAAACAACCGTGGAATTCTTATGGCGTAGACGATTCTGATGAAGATGAAGGTAAAGTTATTGCTGACAAGGAGGGTACAGATGAAGATAAATATAAAGCTCGCATCCCAAGTTTAGACAAACAAGTTCCCCGAAAAATTCCAAAGAAGAACCTAAGAACTTCGAAGTTCCTAGAGAAGTATTACATTTAATATTGTTTATTATTACTTGTATCATTCAGAATTAAATATATTTAAAATTAACTTGTATTAATTTTATATTTTTTTCAACTGGCAATGCTCGTTATGCGACAATACTTCTAAACGTGCTAATGTTTATAATTATTTTATTATTCTTCTATACAGTTTGTAGACCGTTTTTTCTTCACGTTTCATCACGAGGATTCACTAGACATTAACTATACATATTCTGACCATCTTTTTTAGCGTCCTTTCAGGGTTTCTCCTTCCAAATGGTATTATATTTCTCACTATCATCCCTTGTCTATCACCGCTCATTCGTGGTGATGTGATTATTCCTTTTTCTCCATAGGTTTCACAAATTTGGTAATATCGTCTATTTTAACTGGTTTGCACTTATTATACCCTGATTTTTTACCCTATCACTTCTGGACTTTCCTCCTATTGATCGTAATCTGTTCCCTTCTACTGATTCGTACTGTTGTATTGTTTTCTTCGTATACGCACGGTTTTCAGCTCCATACTCCAAAATTCAACCATTCAACCATTGTGTTATATATATTTAAACTTTTTCTTCTACAATTCGTTATTTTTCCAAATTACATTTTTTAAGTGTCTTGATTCGCGAGCACCTTTCATAGCTTGCTTCATAGTATGACGTCGTGGGAACACATATATTTACGAGGATAATTCATAAATAAGTATTTACAAATAAATAGTTCAAACAGTTCTCTGCAGCTCTGATAGATCCATATCCTGATTATAGGAGCGATCCTTATCCGATTGAAGATCGGCCTGAATCGTGGTCCCCGCACTCCTCAACGAGAGCACGAACAAAGCGTAACGCTGCATGATCGCAGTCACACATGGAAAAACTATTCCACAACGGTTTCCCAACACATAACCCGTCCCAACAGCATAGCTCGCCTCCGCACCGCCCTGGATACCAGTTTTTGTACGTTCGCACGAGGTTTTCACGCCACCATGTCTAGCACTTTCGCTTATACGGAGGTGTGACATCATCGTGCGTTAGCGCGGCGACTCCCGCTACGTGACCGCCGTGCTGCCACGCAGTTTTGTGTACCCCTTTCCGTGGATTATTCGAAGTTCCCAAATTACCTCGGGCACCTGCGCCCCGGCTCCCTTTCTATTCAAACTCTCTATTCACCCGTCGCCCCCTGGCGTCTGGGCCTGCCTCATCCTTACTCGCGTGCCTGCATGACGTCAGACTTCCTGCCAGGAGGTTTCGTTTTGCAATACGTTGCAATAGCTTCTGTGTACATGGTGATCACTGGAAATATCCAATCCCCAGTATTGGAATTTCATCACTTCCTCAATGTCTTCGCCTTCTATTTCCATTGATTGATAAGTGATTCTGGGCGCATCAACTACCAAGGTCGTGTCGTAAGTGTACTGCATGTTTTTCTCTCAAGAGGTGTCGGTGATATTGACCCGCAGATGATGAGATCTGACGCGGACCTATCGTCGGCTAGTGGGGTTTTCCATAGCGAGGTATCTCCCAACAGCGGGGCGCCACCCCAGTCGGATCAAGCTCCAAGCTCGGGAGAGGTCTGCTGGCATGTGTGGGAGTGTGTGTAAGTAAAGGGTGAGAATAGGAAAGAGAAAAGGAAGGAAGGATGGCGCGCGGTACGGGACCCGTTTTTTAGGGTACTCGCCTGGTATTGATAGGGGGCACCACGAAATTCGCATTTGTTCAGCATTCGCCTGTAATTGATAGAAGCACATAACGGTATGCTACCGATCAGTACAGCCGACCGATTGAATTCTCCTCCAAACTAAATATGACCTCGACATAGCTATCTAGCTAGTGTCGAAAATCCTGCCATTGTCGGGGCTCGAACTAAGGACTTCCCAATCAAATGCACTGCAGTGACATCATTTGATGCTCTGAGCCACGTCTCCTGGTTTCTATTTCGAACTTACACCTTTTAGAGTCCTTAGATATTTCCATCGATTTGGTTTTCTCGGTTCAAACTATCATATTGTAACGGCACGACCTGCCGTGAATTTGAGATTGAATATTTATCGATGAAATCGTGATCATCCAGCACGGCTAGCGGCCGTTGAAAAGGCGGCACCTGACCACGCCGCCCCTCATCTCTGTTATTGAGAGACTCGGGTCGTTTATGGCCTACCGCGCCGCCGCCGGTATGAAGTGGAGGCTGTCAGCGCCGTGCCGCCGAGCACTCAGGACGGGTGGCCTTTCCTCCACGCGACCGCGCGTCAAGCGATCGCACTCAGCGCGACAAGCGACCGCGCGTCAAGCGACCGCGCGATCGCACTCACTTGAAGGAAATGTTTACGACCTAACGAATTTTGACGCGCACGTGCAACCCCGGCTATCTAGGTCATAACGACATCCTCGCCGACTGCGAAGAGATTACGCCCGCAGCGCTAAACGACAAAATTCGACGGAAAATTTTCGTCGCGTGGATGGTCGAGTCATTAGTCGAAGCCCCGCCACGCTCCGCAAAAATTTGATTTCGGTCAACCAGGAGGAGTCTCACTGAAGAAGACGGGGTACCAGAACTCTCGTGATGACGGGAGAGAAGCTCCAAGATTATTCACTTTCGAGTTTTCGCGCAAAAGGGTTCAGCTTTAAAGGGCTCAGTTCAATCTTGAAAATGTCGAACAGTAACATTCGAGAGACATAGTATCTGGCACTTGGAAATTATTCTCGCTGGCCGTGAGCTGCACTCGCACGTCAATGCCAGTAATCGGTGCGCAGTTGCTCTGTTACGTGCCATAGACCGGCTAACCCGCGCTACGGTAGTGGACCGTCCGCGATCGCTCGCTTCGGGCATTAGATGAATTCCAATCAATCATCGCTGACGCGAATCGTGGGTGCCTGACGGTCGGGGCTTCAATCCCTGGGTCCGGCCTGAGCAGCGGAAACGAGCGCGGCAACGCTGGAGCGCGCCCGTGGTCTAGGCTGCAGCTGTTCGGGGCGACCCGCCCCTTCCCGTCGGTCAACAACACTACCAGCCGAGTGTGTTCTACTGCCGGAACAACAACAATGGTAATCACCAGCTTTACTTCCGCTAAAATGCGGTGGGACAATAATTGTGAGAAGCTGAGTGAAAGATGCCAAAAGTTCGCGACGAGCGGTCGAAGGGAGCGGATGTGCCCCTGCCGCTCCGCTCCTCTAGCGGACCCGAACGCCAGCGCGCATAGACCCGGGCCTGCGCCTTTCGCCCGCCCCCTCATGCCCCGCCGGGCCGCCTGAGCGAGGGGGCGCACAGGTACCTCAGGCAACAAAGCCATGGCGGAAACATCGGAGCCGCCGCAGCCGCTGCCCACGCCTCTGCCGCTGCCCTTCACCGGCGCCGGCCCTGCGGACGACGCGGTAGTGCCCGCCGCCACCATTGCGGCTGCAGCTCGCCGCCACGCGCCTCGGCCATCGCCAGATCAACACGGTGGAAGTTGCGGCGACTGCTTCCGTTCAATCGATGTGGTCGATCCACGGCGAGTCCTCTTGCGCTGCAGAGGGTGTGTGAGAACACATGGAGCTCCTTCCTCCTCAACCGCCGCAGCCTGTCATAGAGGGTAATGAATGGGAGGAACCTAGAATGGTCCCCTGGGGGAGGTGGTATTCGCCTTCGCACGGGCAACGCGAAGCGGAGCTGCGGAGCTTTCGGGAGGAATGCGGCGGCCTTCCACCAGGCTACTTCCAGCCCACCGGCGGAGCCGGCGGCCTTCGCCCCATGTGCTGGAAAGGGTGCGCGCATTCGAAGCGCACTCCCCAGCTCACAACAATCAGAGGACGACCGTCCGCAACGCCGTTGGCCTCCGGGACCTGCGGCGTAACCAGCGGCAACCCAGGCGGAGAGAGTGCAAGCTCCTCCCCCGCTGCACAGCCCGAGCTGCCGGCACCCGCAGACCACGATGACAGCGGCCCGATGGGCCTCCATCCTCGCGGGCCACCCGAGACCTCCCCCTCCTCGCAAAGGAGCAGCGGGGGAAGGCGAAACCGGCCGACGCGCCGTCCACCGAAGCGGGCGCCGGCCGCGCGACACCACTTCCAGAGGCAGGGAATCGCAACCGTCGGCGAAAGCGAAGGTCACTGCTCCAGCGAAGTTGTAGGCCTGGCCCACCCCAGACGGACACGTCGGGAGGGTCCCAGGATCTCCGCGGGAGGCGGCGACCTCCCCCACTCCAAGAAGAAGCGTCGGCACCTCCGTACGCGGGCCGAGCGGAACCACCTCTGGCGCCGGACGGGAATCCTGGCAGGTAACGACTCCACCGCCCAGCCCATCCTCCAACCTATGACGGCGAGGGCACAGATGGCGGCTGGCAAACCGTCCTGTCAACCAGCGCGGCCCCGGGCTCCGCACGCTAATTCTCACGGGGGTGTCGGTCCACGCCCGCTCGAAACACGGCAGCCTCAGCGGCGCCGCTCACAGCCTCCGAAAAAGCCATACTACATAAGGCTCAGGAATCTCCCCCGATGCTGTGCTCGCCCACGGTCGTGCGCTGGGCGTCGCAACACGGCAAAAGGCCACAATTGGCCGAGCCAAAACGCGGGGAAGCGTTTGTCTACGCAATTCAAACAACAGACAAGGTAGCCTATTTAGAGACGGAGAAATATGCTAAATTGCAAACATATTCTTCTTCTCACATCCTCCACGTCTGAAGGGCATGGAAAAGACCCTCCGAGTGGCAATCATGGACTCCCGAGAGGGTTCACCGAGGGAGAAGTGGCGCAAGAGCTGAGAGAGCTCGCTACGACCGCCTTGGGCGTCAGGCACCACTGGCGTCTAAAAGAATCTGCGGTCGCCCGACGCCGCAGGTGGAAGGTGAGCCTCCGCAAACGAATGGCAGCGCAGTTAAACTGCTCACGGGACATTCATGGTCCACCCTACGCGACCTACCTGCCTCGCGAAAATATATTCCGTCCGTCGAGTTGGATATGCTTCGACGTGACTGTAGAGCGCGAAAAGAGGGCACGACACCTCTTTTGGCGTTCGCTGCTGCAGATGGGGTCACCATCG